CGCTTAATGGCCTGTAATAGATGTCCTCTGAGCCAACATCTGTTGTTAGTGACATCCATGAAATCCTGCTGTCCTGAGGTTTCCCATGTGTGGTGGAAGGCAAAACTGGGACCTATAGCTGGAACTTAGGGCCCCATGATGCTTCTCTTTCTTGTGTGGGTTAAATTAGTCAGTTACAATCAATTAGTAGATGCACCTTATCTGGTGAGTAGTCTCATTGAAATCAAGAAGGGCTCGCCGAGCGGCGGCGAGCCCTGGTCGCCAGCAGTGCGGTTCCATGCTCTGCACATGTGCAGATCGCTCCGTGCTGGCTCTTCCGGGTTGTAATCTACTCACCATAGGCGATTAGATTACACTATTTGTCGAGCCCTGGAAATCAGTATGAGTGAGAAGGACAGCATCAGGGTCTGGGTTGACGAATTGTGTGTTGCATGTTCCAAAACAAAAATTTAGCTCACCCTCCTATTGCTGGGCAGAGTTGACAAGAAGTAAAACCTACACCCTTCACCGCTCAGGTCAGATGCTATGGCTCCGTGGATGCCTGGAGGGTTGATCCCGGTCTGTCATTAGCCATTTTAACACTGCTGTGTCTGTTGATGTCAGTGGAAAGGCTCTTGCTTGACACTTGTGTAGATGAAAGTAGAGTCAACCCTGAGAGTATGGCTAAGAAGACAACTATTTTTTTTTTCTTTCCATGGTTCCTTTTCCTGTGATCTCTGCAGGTTTGAGCCATCCATCTGACATCTTTTTGGACTCCTTCAGTGATTGGCAATGTTCCCTCTAATCTTTTCCATCCTGGTGCGGAATAAGTTTTATGTGCACGGAGGTATGTGCACAAATAGTAGAAACCAAATCCTAGCTCTGCTAATCAGCTGGGAAGCATTGGAATCTCCTGAGCGGCTACACAAGTGCACAGCTTACAGTGAACTCTGGTGGTGGGCCCTCAAGGGAGCGTTCTTTGGAAATGAAGAAGTTCTGTGGACTTAGTGGGGAGTGATTGTAGGTGGGTTAGGAGCATGCAGCAGTTCCCTTGGGAGGATGGCTAACAAATGGGTAGTGGAAGGTGGCTGTATGTTGGGCTCACCAAGCTGCAGTCATGCTGGCATTGGGAAGACATCCCAACACTACTGTTTTGTGTTACTAAAACATGGATTACAAGACATTAGGGGTAATAAATTAGTCAGTTATTTACAATTAATTAGTAGATGCATTTTGCATCGACTGCTCAATAGGACACCTCTGCCTTTGAAGTGTACATTTCAAAGGCAAAAGCACTGCCTGGACCTGGGTGCAGCTGGGGACACCCCCACTGACCCTGGACTCCATACAGTGCTGCCACTTTGAAACGCTATGGTGAGCCCGGCATCAGGCTCCATGCTACGTTTCAAAGTGGCAGTGTCTCACGGAGCTTGGGATCAGTAGGGGAGTCCCCATGTGCAGCTTGGGATCACCCCAGCTAGCTGGCCCTAGGCTGCATTCAGAGTTTCAAAGTGGCAGCACCACATGGCTCCACATAGTGCAGCTGCTTTGAAGCACCCTCTTCGCTCCCCTCCCCCCCGCTGCCTCTCTGATAGAGGCAGCAAGGGTGAGGAAGCGACTAGTGGAGTCACTAGCTGACTAGTCGCTTGCATCCCTACTAGAAGCTGAACCAAACAACTGGGTAAGGAATGCTTTTGGAATCAGGGAGCTGCCCTCTCATCTGTCTGGGTAGTCACATGAGTGCTTGTGGGAGCGTCCTTGCAATGAAGCATTACAATCAAAATTTAAAAGACGTTCCCTGATTGTGTTTTGGATTCAGAGAACTGTTGAGTACCCAGAACTTGCAGACAAAGCAATGGGTTTTCTGATGCCATTTGCTATAAAATGGGACTCTCGGCATTTGCTTATGGGATAGTCAAGTAGTCCTTCACATCCCTACAAGGCACGCCTGGGCGTAGGCAGCTAGCATTGGGCTTGTGGGATTATATACAGCAGAAGGCGAGGTTGTTCAAGTTGAGCAAGGTGTCATTTTTAGCAGACCAGTGTGTTCGAGCAATAAAGGCTGGGCTGCTCCCTCCAAGAAGGGAAGTCAGCACTGCGTCTTCTGGGGGTGGAAATTGTCTTGTGTCCAAGTAACAGGAGGATTACGCAGAGGGATTGTTCTCACCAGCTGTTGCTGCTTTAACGGAATGAGGATGCTGGTTGTAGTGCCGTGATGCTGCTGTTCCAGTTCAAATATTGACACAATTGAAAGTCACCCAGATTTGGCTTGGCAGAATAATAAACTGCCAGCTCCACTGTTTATGCTGGAGTTGGTCCAAATATCTAGAGCCATCAGGGGGAAAAATCTTGAAGCCTCCCTAATGTAAAGGCCTGTAAATCCCAGCTGAGATTGGGAGGCGAAAACTCCTTGCTGTATTGACTTCCCATTCACTTGTGGCCTTCAGGCCCGTGCGTGTGAGAATAAGGTTTGCGAGTATTAAAGCAATTGTTTAAACAAACAGGCTGCACCAGGAAAGCCACAGGGGTTAAGTGGTGGGTGGTTAAGATCAATCCTGCATATCCAGAATCGTTTTGTCACTCGGATTGCTACAGCTGGGTTACGGGTATACAATTTGGAATGGGTGCACTAGTCAATCTGCTTCTTGCATAGCTGGGCTGGCAGCAGTGCTGTCTTTCTAGGTAATATGCTTAGAAGAGCAGCGTTTCAGCAGGAAAGCCACAGGGGTTAAGTGGTGGGTGGTTAAGATCAATCCTGCATATCCAGAATCGTTTTGTCACTCGGATTGCTACAGCTGGGTTACGGGTATACAATTTGGAATGGGTGCACTAGTCAATCTGCTTCTTGCATAGCTGGGCTGGCAGCAGTGCTGTCTTTCTAGGTAATATGCTTAGAAGAGCAGCGTTTCAGATAGCGGAGTTTAGTTGTGATGTCAGTGTAGTTGCTTCCCATTTGAACTCCCCTTTAGGCAGGTATGAGCTGGCCAAAGAGTAAGACAAGTGTTTGTTCTTTACCTGAACTTCTGCAGACAGTTATCTATTCTTCCCTGTCCCCCTCCATGGCCTTTATTAGCTAAAGTGAAACCCTGCCTGGCTGTTACATGTGGGTAAAATGAAACTGCACATGTTGAGGATATACCTGAGAGCAGTGGCAGGGAGAGATGCACAGAAAGATGTTGAAAACCGCTGTGTGATCAGGAATCCCCCTAATGCTCAACGTGCTTGTAAAACTCTGACCGACTTATCTAGTTTAGCAGCACAGCCTGGGAACTTGTAATTATTGCCACATCTTTCAGATGGGGAAACGGAGGCATGGTGCTGCTTAGTGCAAGAATCCCACCCAACAATCAAGCCCAGGAATCCTGATTCCCAGGCCTTTTTGGGCATCTTGTTCCTGTTGTTTAAAAGCCAAAGTTTTCTTTTGAGACACAAGGTGGGTGAGATCCCCTTCCAGTGCATCATCTGGTGGTGAAAGAGACTAGCTTTCCAGCTCCACAGAGCTCTTCTTCCAGGACTCATTAATAGGCCATCTTACCTTGAATGGTCCCTTATGCTAAACAGTCTGTTCCCCCTTGTGACACTCTGAACATTTTTCCCAGCCCCGCATAACTGGAAAGGTGCTTGCTCTCTCTCCTCGTGCACACTCTCTCTCTCTCCAGAACTTGGTCCAATAAAAGGCATTAAATCTTCCTCGCCTTGTCTTGCTAATGTCCCAAGATTAGCACCCCTGCTACATACTGCCCAAAGCACTCCTGTTGTTCCTGGAGTCAGCTGCCATGGATGGGCCAAGTTCTATGTGCCGCTCTGGAATTTTTATCCACTTATATTGTCATGGTTGATTTCCCTCTCCCCCTTTCTTTTCTCCCCAAGGCAGATTGCTGAACACACCGGTAAATATTTAACTTTAATTTTTGTCTGAGCAGGGAAACCTTCCAATAAATTTTTCAGCAGAACTGGAGGTGTGGTACTCCATTCCATCCCAGCCATGTGCTTTAACATAGGTCTGAATTGACTGGTTGCCTGTAGCAGGGAATGGTGGCCTATTGCTACTTTGATGGTTTTTAACATGTATTTAGAGCCTTGTTCTGGTCTCATTTTACCTGCTGCCTCTGACCTCTCCGAAATATTGGATGTTCCGGTGTTTCCGGAACTGGAAAAGAGGTGTACTCTTCAAAATGGTATCGCCCATTCTTGATACTGGACAAAATCATGTCCGATTTTGTCTTGGTACCTGATGGGAGACAAAGCCATAGATCAAGAGGGCTCCCTGAGTTAAAACTGGAAAAGGGGCCTGCCTAGTTTTGCCTTAGTATAATTCCATGGCCATCTCAGAGAGGGTAATAGCAGATTTAAACCCTTTAACAAACTGATCAAAATGGTATCGCCCATTCTTGATACTGGACAAAATCATGTCCGATTTTGTCTTGGTACCTGATGGGAGACAAAGCCATAGATCAAGAGGGCTCCCTGAGTTAAAACTGGAAAAGGGGCCTGCCTAGTTTTGCCTTAGTATAATTCCATGGCCATCTCAGAGAGGGTAATAGCAGATTTAAACCCTTTAACAAACTGATGC